ATGAAAGCAGACGTGTTTCTATTATTTCTGATGCATTACATGAATATCTGATAAAAAGAAATAATGTTGGGCATTACTGATTACCAAGAGGATTCTTTTGGAAACATCAAGGACAAATGATTCCACTTTTTTGGGTCCACATTATTGGGACATCACCTCTGTAACCTTGATGATTTATTTTTCATTGTAGATATACTCTTAGATTTGTAAATCTTTTGTATATGGGTGACACCCCCTTGGTGCCTACTCTAATATATTTTTCTACTTTCTATCTCAAAAAAAATTACTGATTACGAAACAGCGACTTTTTCTCTTGTATCGACCACAGTTACATGCCTTGTAACTCTTTGTTATGAAATACAGGGGCATCGAGCTGAGTTGTATGCTGCCCGTGTTGCAAAATGCTTAGCTGCTTTGGAAGGACGTGAAAAGGTCAATGTCGATGACCTGAAAAAAGCTGTAAGTCTTATTCTGAAATATCATGATGCCTCTGTTCTCAAACATAGACCAGCAATTTAAGATTTGTTGCTGGAACAGGTTGTGCTGTGAAATTGCACCAGCCACTTAGGCTAGCAATTCTCTCTCCTCCCTCTCGATTTCTTTCCAGTCTCTCTTGCCTTTCTTTCCTCCTTTGCTCTGCATATTCTGAACAAATTTCCTACCTCACATGTTTCTGATGGACTGATGTGATACAATGCTTCCATTTCTGGCAACTTATTGAGGTTCCTCCCGTTTCTTATTTTTTGGATGGAACAAGTAATTAGCACAGAAGTTTACAAGTGGGTGTCACCCATAGACAAAGTGACATGTTTAACTAGGTTTAAAACAAAAGTTTACTAGGTCTAGTAACTTTCCCTTGTTTATTAGTATGACCATTTACCACAGGGTAGAGGATTGAGATTAATTCTCTTTCCAGATTAACCAGAAAATATGGTGGAGTTAATGCTATCAACTTCTTCTCCTTTATTCACCTCTTATCCTGTCCTGGGCCCAAATCTCATCAATAATTGTCTCAGCTGCTGGATTAATTCACACCCAATACTGCAAGGCTGTATCCGCAGCTTCCTTTCTGCGAGCACAACAAAATATTTTGTTGAGACACCTCATCTGTCTTGCTGTATAAGAAGCACCCATTAACAAGATATTTTATCCGTTTAGAGTTATGTGAATTTTACAGCACTTCTTCTCAAAAAAGGAGTTCTGCACCACCTTTATTCCATTGTCAAACACTGCAGAATCTGAATATGCGCATTATCAACTTGCTGTGGATGCTGGGTCTGTATTCTAATTTGCTTATGTTGGAGAGCTTATATGAAAAAAACTTTTTTGATTAACTGATCCAGGTTGAACTGGTTATTCTTCCTCGCTCAGTTGTCAATGAGAACCCACCAGAACAGCAAAACCAACAGCCTCCTCCTCCACCTCCTCCACAAAATCAGGACTCTGGGGAGGAGCAGAATGAGGAGGAAGATCAAGAGGTTGGACCAGTACTTGTCAATATTTTAGCTTGATGCACCAAATATACCGATATTTTATGTTTTCCCCACTCTGTATTGATTCTTGTTTGTCGGTTATAATGGACTAGTCTGTCAATTTTTGTAACATGATTTGAGGAATCCAGTAATCTTCCTTTGAAAGTTAAAGTACAAAATGCAGATATGAATTTCTAAAATGCGAGGCTTCTTTCAAATCAGGATGAAAACGATGAAGAAAATGAGCAACAACAAGATCAAATACCTGAAGAATTTATTTTTGATGCTGAAGGGGGTTTGGTGGATGAAAAACTCCTTTTCTTTGCACAACAAGCACAGAGACGACGAGGTAAGGCTGGAAGAGCAAAAAATGTTATATTTTCAGAGGATAGAGGCAGATACATTAAGCCCATGCTTCCGAAGGTTAGACCTCCTGCCTTCTCTCTCCCTTCCCCAACCCCTTGCATGTCATCATGGTGAACAAGATAAAAACACATGCTATATTGATAGTTATGCTTTTTCCCAAAGAAAAGGGTACCTTTTTTATTCATTGAAGCTTTTTGAATTTTATAGGACTTATTGATATTTTCTTAGAAGTGAAAAACGGACTTATTTTAGTACAATCATTTTTTCTTTTCTCACAGCATTAACATTAGCATAAAAAATTATATCCTCTATTCTCAGTGCATAAGTGAGCTTTTTTTCTCTCTTTGCTGATTAAGATGTATATATTTTTATAGGGTCCTGTAAAGCGATTAGCCGTTGATGCAACCCTTAGGGCAGCAGCACCATATCAGAAATTGCGTAAAGAGAAGAACACTCAAACAAGCAGGAAAGTTTTTGTTGAGAAAACTGACATGAGGGCCAAAAGAATGGCAAGGAAAGCAGGAGCACTGGTAGATGGATCCTTTTATTTCTTGCCTTCATCCTATAGGTGTTTTCTTAAGATCAAATTATGGATGCAAAATCCTCTTCTGTGCTGTGATGGTATCTATTTCATGTTCAGTGATGCTACATAGTCATCAAAGCTAGTTTGGTATACCTCTGTACAGAAGTTCGAGGCATGAAAGTTTTAAACCTCATTAAGCATCATTTGTCAAAAGCCAAAAAGGAAATCTAAGTATCGTATTGTCTAGTCCTACATGAGGAGGAATTTTCCTTTACAAAAATATTACATATATAGATGGAGATGTAAATTTTTAAGCAGTTGGTTTGTCGAAAATAATGTTTTTCATGTTTCCTGCTTAGGTTATATGGTTTTCCTGTCACGTGTCTGCACGCCATGTTTTCCATTTTTGAATTCTCAGTATTATTTACTAATGACAGGTGATATTTGTGGTTGATGCAAGTGGGAGCATGGCATTGAACCGTATGCAAAATGCTAAAGGCGCCGCTCTTAAATTGCTGGCTGAGAGTTATACAAGCAGAGATCAGGTATTGTTGAGAATTAGTTTGTCACTGAACTTTATAGTTATATAGAACAATGCCGAAGATAATTTGCCACAGTTTTGCTCCACTCCCTCTTCAAAAAAAGGAAGTTTTCTTTTAATTCAATAGGCAGATTGAAATATTTGAAAATAATTCATTCCTTCAAACAATTCTAAGGTTTAACAAATAAATCTCCATGTGTCTTTGTTGATTCTGACCGTGTTACAAGAAATAAAATAATGCAGTTGAATTGCTGAGCCCCAGATTCATTTATTTTATAAAACCAGGTATAATTTATTTAATGGAAAAGATTTCATCTACTACCTAATATGATTTGCTCTGATGTAAATGTTTCTGTGCTAGCCTTCTGCTATTTCCATTACCCGCTGGAGAGAGTAGTTATAAGTGTCCTGATGTCATGTTCTGTTAAGTCCTTGTCAATCTCCTTAATAAATTAGGTTCTACACCATTCTAAATCTCCGATAGTACGGCACTTTTGTGTTATTGCATAACTTATGCAAGGAAGATATAAAATAGAGAGGAAACTGCAATGGTTCCAATAAATAGTTCAAAGTGTTAGCCTGTGGTGCTCAATAAACTATATTGCATGGTGTTGAAAGCAGCAGGTCAATGGAGTTTTTTGAATTTTTAAAAATGCAAAAAGTAGAAAAATAATGATCACAAGAATGGAAAATATTCTTGAAAACTTGGAGCACATGTTAGGGAAAATTTGCTCACATGATGTCATTGGAATTATTGTGATGATTGAATCTTTAATCCATAAACTTAAACTGGTTCTTCTCCTTACATCTTTTCCGATGATTTGATAAAATTTTCAGATGACCCCCTATCAACATTGATATGAAAATATATCCTCTAATTTTCCCTGGGAATTAATTTCATCTTAGTTTATTGGTTATGTTAAGTAGGTTTCCATAATTCCATTCCGTGGAGATGCTGCTGAAGTACTTCTGCCTCCTTCCAGATCAATTGCAATGGCAAGAAAACGTCTTGAGAGGCTTCCATGCGGTGGCGGTTCTCCCCTAGCTCATGGTTTGACCACAGTATGTACACTTTCAATGGATTATGGTTAAAAATCTCACTAATACTGGAAGGCTCCAATGGTTCAGAGTTTAGCATATAAAAAACATATTCTTGTTCACCAAACAAATTATCATTCAATTCCGCAATTTGCAACCCTGGATGGTTTTCCCTTCCACTTGATGGAGAACTGCTCTATGCTTAATATTTTCCTTATACATTTTGTGAATTGTACATATTCTTTTGTTTTTTTAGCTACTTTGTCATCTAATGTATTCCTAAGATTGGTAGGGGATTGTGTTATAGAATTTTGGCACTACAATTTCCCATTTTCAATATTCCTCTTTTCTAACTAATTCTTCATTAACTTAAATCTGCTTAGGCCGTCAGAGTTGGGCTAAATGCAGAAAAGAGTGGTGATGTTGGCCGTGTAATGATTGTTGCAATTACTGATGGCAGAGCCAATATATCACTGAAAAGATCCACTGATCCTGAAGCTGTTTCTGATGCCCCTAGACCCTCGGCCCAAGAGTTGAAGGTAAGTTGAGTAATGTAATTAATTTGCTTGATGCTAACCACTCATGCAGGACGCCTCTCTAGCAACTGTCTGTGCAATCTCCTGTTGCACTCGAAGTAGTTATTCTAGTAAGTAGGCTGCAAAATCATTCCAAAATTGTGATGATGCCGCTGAAATATTTAGGCTATATATGCAACAAATCCAGAATTTTTTAAAAATCCATTCACAAAGTCAATATCTAGTTTAACTATGTGAGCATGTGAATTCCATGAACAAACTATTAACATTAACCTCATATCGAACTCTATGTAAAACTTAAACAATATGTTGTAATTTTTATAATAAACTTTGATCGAATTTAGAATATATTTTTCTAATTCTAAATGAAATTACATATGCGATTAATGATTTTCATGCCCAACTTCTAAGTTATTTCCACTGATCCACTTCTGACTTTCATGCCCAACTTCTAAATTATTTATACCAACCCAACTTCTAAATAACATTCATGCCTTGTTTTTTTTCTCTGTTTGATAAAGGATGAGATTCTTGAGGTGGCTGGGAAAATATACAAGTCAGGGATGTCGCTTCTTGTCATCGACACAGAAAACAAGTTTGTTTCAACTGGTTTTGCCAAAGAAATTGCAAGAGTTGCTCAAGGTATGTTTGCTTGAGTATCTCCATCCACTTGATAATTTGATTGAAAATCAAGTCAAAATTTCTTTCTTTATAGGTAAATATTATTACCTGCCAAACGCTTCAGATGCTGTCATCTCGGCTACAACTAAGGAGGCATTATCAGCTTTGAAAAATTCATGATTTTTAGCTTTTTTAATATATATATTTTTTTTAATTTATCAACCCAACATGGGATATTGCCCTATAATTTTGGTTGTCAAAATCTGCAAAATAACTTGAACAAGCTGTACATGTATACTGTCTGTGTTTAATCCCCTCTTGTTGTCATCTTTTTGGCTGTGAGAAAATTGTTGAGTTCCTGTTTCTTTATTGCCTAAATTTCACTTCATTTTTGTAACATTCAGTTTACTTAGATATGGTTTCTTATTCATGTAAAATAAGATGTTCTTTTTGAGATGGATAATTTACTGGTAAATATTAATTTGATGTAAATTTTAAAAAATAAATTACAGAGGATTGAATTGTTCCCAAAAAAAAAAAAATTAGTGTAATCCTCCAATTTCTACAGTTAAATTAATTCAAACTGCGATAAAAAATATTAAATTATAAGAAGTAGAATGATTACACAAAATTAAAACATGTCTTCTATGCGTCAAACAAGCGGAAATGTCTAAACTGAACAAAAATCCCATCTTGGATCATATGTGGAAAAAAAACTCGAACGAAAAGCCCAACTTGTGCGGTTCAACTTCGACCCACGTGTTCTCTTCTCATTGGTTATTTTTAGTAAGAGGGACAGATGACTGTTCCAGCGGATTTTTATTTTTCCATTCGGCTGAAATTCAATTCTCCTCTCGAACATTTGAAAAGTTGGATATCTTCCTTCCGCAGGATAAGAGTGGGAGTGAGACTGAGACCTGCTTCTTGCAATTTCAGAAACTCCATTTTCCCGCGCTTTCTCTGCTCCAAGGAACCGGTAATTGCATTATAATCTGATTATCATCATTATTTTCTCATTTATGCTCAAATATTGACAGATTATCTGGTCAGATTTTGAGTATATGTTCAAGCACAGTAGACAGTATTCGGCTCTTTACTCGTCTTCTGCTCTTGTTGCTAGGTCTCTCTCTCTTTTCTGTACACTGTCTGGTAACTTAACTTATTTTGTTTTCGATCTCGGTCACGCACTTTGTTTTAAGCCACGCGTTTTTAGATTTTTCTCCTCGTCTTCCGCAATTACCGTCTTCCATAACCCTACTCCATTGCGATCGTTGCTCGACTGCCGGGCCAACACCGTTGATCCACCAACTACCCCAGTCTTTATACTCCTGCAGATACTTAGTTGACAACAGAGTTAAAGACCATAACACCCTTGCTGGCAGGGTTAAAGATTTATTGTGTGATTTTTTTATAGCGGGTCTTGTGATTGATCCTCGATGAAATTGTCCGTCATCTTTGGCATTTATATTTGGGGACTGTTTATTATTTCAGGAAAATTTTGAACTGGAAACGCGGGGATTTGAAGTGGAAGGGTTTTTCACTCGTTTACTTTACCAAACAGACCCTTAATTAATAGTGGTGTTTTTATTGCAGATGGAGGCTTTGTATCGGAAGCTCCATAACAAATATGAACGACTCAAGGTGTCGCAGCTTCGTTTGTGTGGTTCTTTTGATTTGGTCTCTTAGGAACCGTACATAGTTGATTTTTTTCTCATCTAGTTGTGTTTTATTCATTTTCCAGAAGAAAAGATTGTCTGAGATGGATGAGATTAATAGAGATCAAGAAGTGAAATTTTTGGATTACGTGGCTGGTACATGTTTCTTGTTATCATAACTGCCAGTTTTAAATCCCCATTTAAATTCAAAATGTTTTGAGTTGTTTTATGTGGAACTGTCATTTGTTAGTCAAAGGTGAGAGAAACAAAAATTGTTATCTCAATGTCCAAATCTTTTGTGATGAGACAGATTTAGATTGTATTTCACTAGCTTCTAATAGGTGCTAGTGATTGTAACTTGATGCATCATATATGTAGCACCTATAGAGGTTGACACAATTATCAATGTGGAATTATCATGAGCATCTTATTCAAAAGCCTTTCTTTGTATTCGCTCTTTGAAGTCTGTGTTGGGGCACAAATATGAACTTCCCAAATTGTTAGGTTCTTTCAGGTTCTGTTAATTCAATTCCTTTCCTTGACATTTCTAGCTATCAAATCTAAATCCTGATAACTGATTTAGTGCTAGCTCAAAATGACTACTTTTCATCATGTACAGTTATTTAAAAACTCTACTCTGCATTACAAGTTCATGGTGGTGATTATTTTGTGATAATAGTGAAGCATTAAGGTAACCTGTTCTGATGTTAACTATATTACACCCCTGCTTGGGTTAAGTAATGGCAGATTAGGATTTTGCTTACCCTCTATATAATTCTGTTGAACTTCCGATAGCCCCTTAAGTGATATTTTTCCCTTTCAATTTTGTCGTTGCAGCTGCAGAGGAGTTGATTCAACACCTGAAAAGTGAAAATAACAAATTACAAACCCAAGTTAATGATTTGAGAACTGAAGTGGCCTCACTCAGGTATCCGTCCACAACTACTTATCTTGTTATGTGTAACTTTTTTGTGGTAAGTTCAAAATCTCCAACTATAATTCAAAGCACAAAGAGCAAATCTGATATTTGCTAATTATTTTTCCTCTAGATCTTCGAAGGACAGGGAATCTATAGAGTGCCAAAAGCTTTTACTGGAAGAGAGTCAGAAGAGTAAGAAACAATTGTTCTCTTGATAAATTTTGGTTGTCAGTCCTCAGCTAGCATACATATTCTTAAAACATTTGTATCCTTATTTTTCTTGACCTGCTTCTTGATTTTTCCCCTTCTAAATGAACATAGAAACTTCCTGATGCTTTTTGTAAGGTCTGGGAGTTGTCAGAGACAGTTGGGTGTTCCTAGGTTAAGCTAGATATCAGATGTAAAGAACTTGATCTGTCATATTCGGCTTTCCTCATTTTATTGCGTCATGGGTATTTGTTTGTCATGATAATTCTATTTGCGGACTCACTTCACATATTACTGAATCTGTAAGCTTCAATCATCTATCTTAATTTCATAGGCCCAAGCAAATTCTACCACCTTCAGCCAAATCAAGTCTGCAGTGTATCAAGAATAGCATCACTGATTAAAATGTTGCACATTCTGGTCCATTTGTCATTTAATTTCTGGTCGAGTATTTGCCTGTAGTTTCTGTGATTCAGGGGCTCAAATTTGTGGCAGATAAAGCACTTTCTGAAGAAGTTGGTAGACTCCAGAATCTGCATCAAGAGGGACTTTCTTGCATGGACAGAAGTTATGGTGTTATTCAACAGAATACTCCTGAAACTGCGTTACAAAATGTGCCCGAAAAGTTAAACAAAAGAGTGTCAAAAAAGCGTAGCAGTGAATCTGAGCACAGCAAAGAAGAAGCCTATCTTATGCCTGACTCCAAGGATCCAGATGATGTGATGGTTAGAGAAATGGCAGAAGACTTATCAAAAGGAGTTTTGTATGATGAACAGGTATCTCCTTGATCATATATTTTTTTTAACTGAAGTTTTTCCAACACACTCTGACATTCATTGTTTGGTTATCCAGCCGGAATGCTGTAAAAGAACTCTTTATGAATCAGGTAGGGCAGAGGTGCTATTCTTATACTACTCTTACTAGGGCATGATATGATTGGTTTATTTGCCATATGTTTCTGTTTTCTAGGTATTGGTGTAACTGAAAGTGGCCCTGCAGACTGTATGTTTCGAGCTCTTATCGAGTACGTGATGGGTATGAAATTTTCTATAATTACTCAAGCTGAAGGGATAAGTATTACAGCTTTGCATCAATCAAGTGGTAATTATTGTTACTTTGGTTATTTCAGCTCCTTGAGATTTGAGTATTGTCAATTATGTTTTGCTTTTCAAGTCTTAGTTGTTTTATTTCTTCTTTGCACCTCTTATCAATTATACTTCATGGTGGTTATGGAAAATTTTTATCAGGGTTGGTGACAGTTATGCAACCTAGTTATGGATAAAAGGCAAATACCCTCCAGTGGGTATATAAAATAGGCAATTCTAACAAATTGTCTAGTAGAAACACTTGGATTCGGAAATAACTATTTTACTTTTTCACCTGGTAATAGGATGATTTTTCTAGAATTTTCATGCCTGGTTACTTGGGAAGCACTATATTATTCTGACAACTGTATTCATCTTTTGTGTAACAACACTAAAATCAAGCTGTTGATTCCTGTTTAGCGGTCATAGTCTGGGTGGGTAGATTTTAGATTGTTAGGTCTCAAATTTTGAGATTTTGTTCAATTTATTTTATCAAAGTTATTAGCATGTTCAAATCTGAAATTAATATATCGGGGGTTTTGTGGTCTGGACTGAGAATCATTCTAAGTTTCTCATTGTTGCTACAACACCAAAAAATAAATTTTATTTGTCCTTGATTGTGGCCTTAACAGGTTATTCGTTCAGTCTAACTTGGATAGACAAAGCAACTAGTGATGAAAGACAGCTTCTTTACCGTGCATTATCACTTGGGACATTTGAAAGAGTAGCACCAGAGTGGATGAGAGAGGTTTTGATGTTCAGCACAAGCATGTGCCCGATCTTCTTTGAAAGGGTAGCCCGTGTAATCAAGCTGCATTGCTAATGGTACTGCTTTCTTTGCTCTTATCTAATTCTTAGATTTGTTGCTCTCTGACAAAGTGAAAATTTTTATACCACATTCCTAGACAGTTGTGAGAGTGTGCCCTTCATAGGCCCATTGTAAAGTTTGCTTGTAGTCTATAGAGATTGAGCTTTTCCCTATTTGCATATAAGATCTCATGTAAAAGAAGCACATTCCCTTACGATATGAAAGATATCTTTTGTAGGATGTAGACTGGATACAATTGCATGCACTTTAAGTTCATTTTGGCCAAACTACATGCATATACTGTGGGCTTTATTTGATTTTATAACTTCTTAATGGCAAAATTTTACTAAAAATGCATTCAATAATTTTTATCTGCCGGGAAACTTGAGGTCATTTTAGGCAATTTAATTAGCTCCTGACTTGGAGTGCTGACCAAATATGGTTGTCATTTCAATAACTAAATGTTGATACAAATCTTATTCAAATGAATTTGATCAAGGTCTTCTATTTGCTCTATAAAGAATTGGCAATTCTTAACTCCTGTTTACTTAATATATTCATGCACTAGTGCTCTCTTCTTTTTTGTAACACTTGTTTCTGCTGTGCCTCTACATGTCAAAAATTTAAATCTCTTCTCCTTATATAGTTGTGATCATTGTGAGTTCTTTTGGCGGTTTTAGCATTTCGGAAGATCATGTGGAGGTGGTAAAATTGACTCATTAGGGCCTTTGCCATTCGCCACCAAGAAAGCCATTTTCAGCCCCCAGGTTGTGTGCACTTCCAAATGGCAATGCATGAACCAAACTCCTGCAAAAAGAGTATATGTAAAGAATTGTAGAATCTAAGAACTAAGCAAACGAAAAAAAATTGAAACTTGATAGTCTGTGGAAATGTAAGACAGTTTATTTAAAGAATGGTACTAGTGTACCTGGATTATCTGCTCGGAATCTGATAGCCACCCATCCACCAGACGGTACTCCAATTGTGTTCCTCTCGACAGGATCAATGAGATTAAAATTCTTGGGATCCTTATTTGGATTGTAATTCCCGAGACCCTTACCAATGGCAAAGAAATTGAACCCGTGAAGATGGATAGGATGATTTTCTGGGGATATTATTCCTGTATCTTGTAAAACAAGCTGAACAGTAGAATTGTAAGCCAGCTTAAAAACTTTAGTTCCAGTTTTGGTTTGCAGATTTCTCGGTTGTTTGCCTGTGTAGTCAAATACATGTGCTGGCTTGCTAGGAAAATCAGTGGTGAAAACACCACTGATGTTGAAATAATGTGCTTGAAGTAAGGCTGTGGTTGGCATAACAAATGTGACATTATTCATGCTAGCCACCACCCTGCTGCCATTGCCGGCTTTGCAGGTCGGGCATGGGTTGACCCCTAAACCCACGGTGAACATAAGGTTGTGATCAATGGTTTGTGGGACTTTTGCAGGGTATTTTTTTGAATTAAGGCTGCGGAGGGAGTTTATGAAATTGTTAGCAACCTGGGTTGCATTTTGTGGTGGTGGCTTAGTGAGTGTTGTTGCCGTACTAGCAAGTGTGCCCGAATAGTGGATTGTAGCTTTCGCTGTCATGTTATCCACTGCAATTGGGGAGTCCATGAAAGGAGAGGCAGTGACCAAGTACTTACCTGTGTTTTGGTTAGTGGCAATCAGGGCATTAGTTGTTTGGCCTGGGGCAATAACGATTGTGTCTGTATTGAATGGTTTTACGTAGGTGGCATCGACTTCTACAACAGTGAGCTTGTGGCCAGCAATCTTGAAAAAGAGTTCTTCATTGAGTGCAGCGTTAATTATCCGTAGCATGTAGGTTTTGCCACTTAGGACTGGCAATGTAAATCCCCCTGCAGATGATAAACAAGTAGGGTTACCCATTTAAACTGTGTTCAAAGCAAGTCTTGTAAAAACTATCTCATACACATTTTGGCTAAATACCCTGTGAAGGACAGTTAGAGAGAGGCCCTGGATGTCCATTGATTGTGTGTGCATCCGAGACATTAGGTGCCAACCCTGACTTGAGAGCTTGATTGATTACAGCCTCTGTGTCTGACTTCCACCATTCACCTGGCATTTTAGAGTAAAAAATAAGTAAAAACTTCGGTTGGATGTAAAATTAGATAATGTTGTAAGCAATTACCTAATGTGACTACTACTTCCTTGTGAGGTTTAGGGAAGGGATAGGGCACCCCACGCTTAGGCAAGATAACAATAGCACCATGGAGTGTTGCCCTTAGCCAGAGGATATGTGCATGCCAAAGAAGGGTTCCCCTCTGGCCTGAGATGGTGAAATTGTAGAGGTAGTTTTGGCCTGGCTGGATGGGACACTGTGTTATGTATGCTGGCCCATCGGCCCACCCTGTTCTAAGTTGCCTTACTCCATGCCTGCCCAATAGTAATAAAGTCAAACAAGTAATTAGCAGTTAATACATAAGAGATCTTTTTGGTTAATGGTCAGGTTGCTATCAAAACAATGTTCGTTCACTGAAACTAAATATTTTTGCTGTTCAGTCAAAGATAAACCATTTATGCAGATACTAAAATATTCACGAGGAGAATGTCCTCTATATATTGTCCCTTAAACACCCTAAACCATTGAGAGGAAAGATAAATTTATGCTGTTAATTCTCTCACCAGTGAATAGAAACATTGTACTTGACTTGGTTGACGACATTGACAAGCACTGTGTCGTCTTCCCTTGCATATAAAGTGGGTCCTGGAAATTGTCCATTGACGGTGACGATGGACTTGGTGGAGCAGAGTTTAGTTGTGCTTTTGGTCATCACCTGCTCATAATCATTAGCAGGAAGGAATAGTTTATAATGGATCATGCGTGTAGGTATGTAAGAAATAAATGGAAGAATTCCATTAACTCATGGTCATTATATATCATTTTACTAATGTTGAAAGAAAATATCCATTTGAAATAAGTTATTTAGAGGTATGAAACCAGCTTTAGGTAAGTGGCACGTTGTTCGGTTTATGTATTAGTTTAATCCCATCATTTGAGATGAAAAGCCTGTTTATTTGGACAACAGAAAAAGTTATTCTGACATACTTTATGAAAGAAAAATACTAACCGTGTAATGGTTTTTATAGAAGTTTTTCTACAAACTGATATGGTAGCTGATTAAATAAAAAAATTAGTAATTTCATTGATGTAGATTATACACTTGCATTGCTATTAAAGTGATTTATTTTAATGGAAGTCTTCTACATATAGTATGTTCTGTAGATTATACACTTGCATTGCTATTTAAATGATTTATTTCAATGTAGTTTTTTGTACATAGCATTAATCTTTGCAGAATATACTTACATTAAAGGTGTAGCGACGAACTTTGCATTCGACCATAGGTGGAAAAAACAGGCAAACCATAAGCACAACAAATCTAACCCAATGCTCCATGTCTCTCTGTCTCTTTTTCCTCTAAGCTCTCTCTAGTTGCTTAGTTATTTACTTTTTAGGATTGTTCATCTACAAATCTATCCTTTTAAAGACACAGCAAGTGATGAACTGCTGTGATGTCACTTTTCTTATTAGGTGCATGTTGGTTTTCTCTTAAAAAAACAGATACATATTTATATTTATATAATACGTATATACATGTGCCACTGAGGAAAATATATTAACAGAGTTAGTGATCCCATTGTTTTCTTGCATGTTACATAAAGCTGTTCTGTTGGGGAACAATTATGATTGACAAGTGAAAGTTTGTGCAAGTTTCTTGCTGTTTGTTACAACCTTCATTCTGGTCTAGTTGGTTGAAAATATTTATTAGGTTAAAAGATTTTATGTAATAATCTTTAGAAATAATATGATTTTCTTTATATTTCCTGTTTGTATGTTGAATTTATTGTTATGTATAAATATATATATATATATATTAACCTTGAAAACCAATTTTAATTTCCTTAACTAATTTCTTTTTTTTTCTCTGTTTGGATTATTCTTGCGGTTGAGACAGCGTAATAAGCTAACCCCATAAGAACAGTTTAAAACATAAGAATTTTACAGATATAAAACGTTGGACTAAATTGCAAGGAGAAAAATATTAGAAATTAGATTTATAATAAATATTGATTAATTTAATAATTTTTTAATAAATATTTATATTTTTTACATTGCTGGAAAAATAAAATTATAATTGAATAATCACTCAGCAGTAAAAAGGTAAAGATTGCAATTACATTACGTCATTAAGTTTGTAATAAGAATAATTTACTATAATTTTATTATTATATTTAATTAGTACTGAAGGAAACTTAAAAATACAACTGTAAGTCCACTATTATTTTTTATTACAATTTAATAAAAAAATATAGTTTATGTGACACATTCAATAAATGTATTTAAATCCTATTTTCCCTTCTAAAATCCAACCAATTAAAGTCTCCCAAACACATTATACATTAAACAAACAGTCTCAATATGAATCTCAAACTTGAATTTTATATTTATGAAATATTCAAATTATTTCCTTAGCTAATATCCTATTTTTTTTTTTATTTGTAAAGAAAAATAATTTTTAAATATTTTTAGATAATAAATATGGGCTAATTCCTCATAATAAAAATAAAATAAAACGTTTTAACAAAACAATTTAAATAACATAATGGTATAAAAAAATGGTTTTAGAAAAATAAGAAAACAAATATTTTAAGAATCAAATCAAATCAGGAAAATCTTTGGCGATTACACCTCAGGTGCGTGGTAGCAAATCGTAAAGTACCTTAAAAAAACTAGCCGTTGTGAGACAAATCGAATCTCCGCCGCGTCCTTTTAACGTTCGAAAATTATATTTTGAAATCTCTTTCTGTCAAACCGACATCGTTTCTTCTTTAACCCCGCGTCGTTTTAAAGCCAGACCCACCGCCTCTTCTATCTCATCACTCTCTCTCAGTCTCTCATTCTCTGCGCCTGAAACTCTCTCGCTCGCGAAGAAAGAAGAAGGGAAAGAAGCCTTTTCTAGTCTCTTCTTCTTCTTCTTCTTCTTTGCCTCCGCGATTTTACTCTTTTTTCCATCAAAGTTGACGATTGTGTTCTTGTGCTTTCTTTTGACTTCCTTGCTTTGAGCATCATTTCTTGAAATTCTTTTGGTTTTTTCTGATCAACATAAAGGAAGAAGAAGATATGGCGGCGGTTAATGAGTACCAAGGCAATACCCCGGTGGCCGCTCCTGCTGCGACTGGATCAAAGCAGGCTGTTCCGCCGGCGAAGAGCGTTGATACTCAATCCGTACTCAAAAGGTCTCGAAAGCTATACGAGTTTTTTCGATACCCAGTCTTTTGGCTCTTTTTTTTTTTTTTTTTCAATTTAATCATTTGATCTCTATTCAGATTAGATCTGGTATCTACAATCTACTGATCTTTTTGGGAAAAAAATAACAAGCTTTGTGAAGAATTTTGTTTTTTTTTTTAAGGGAGGGGGTTTAATTTTGTGGTTCTTGGACTGATCTTGACAAGGGGATTTGCTGTGTTTTTGCGGAAGGGAGCTTATTTTAGATAAAATTCTCTAGGGTTTTTGGGTATGCTTGAATTTATAATTTTATTTGCCTTTTATGAGCGCCACCCTGCATCTGCTTCTGTTACTAGTTTTTGGGTTTAGGGTTTGATTGTTTTACTTTTTCACTGGTTTGGTATAGGGTTTGTTGTTTACTTTTATGATTGGTTTGATTTTAGGGTTTAGGATTTGATTGTTCACTTCTTCAATAGTTTGGTTTAGGGTTTAGGATTTGGTTTAGGGTTTGATTGTTTACTTGATTACTGGTTTTTGCAGTTTGATTTTGTGGGTGTCTAATTTTTTCCCTCTGTCTTTACCACAGGTTGCAATCAGAATTGATGGCCTTGATGGTAAGAACCATTTCTTTTGCTGAGGAAACTAAAGTGAAACCCATACGAGTTTTGTACTTTCTTTATTACTGATCCCAAAAGTTAGGCGTTTAGTATCCATGGAAAGGTAATTGAAGTGACTTAGGCTTTCCAAACTGAATCTTTGTTATGTTCTAATTCAATTCTCAGAAGAGAACCAAAGTGAAACCCGTATGAGTTTAAGTACTTTCTTTATTGGTGATTCAAAAATAGTTAGGCGTATAGTATCCATGGAAAGGTAATTGAAGTGACTTAGGCTTTCCAAACTGAATCTTTGTTATGTTCTAATTCAACTCTCAGAAGAGAACTAAAGTGAAACCCGTATTAGTTTTAGTACTTTCTTTATTACTGATTCAAAAATAGTTAGGCGTTTAGTAGCCATGAAAGGTAATTGAAGTGACTTAGGCTTTTCCAACTGAATCTTTGTTATGTTCTAATTCAATTCTCAGATAAACTAAAGTGAAACCCATATGAGTTTTACTACTTTCTTTATTACTGATTCAAAACTAGTTCGGCTTTTAGCATCCATAAAAAGTAATTGAAGTGACTTAAACTTTCCAACTGAATCTTTATTATGTTCTAATTCGATTACCAGATGAGTGGAGATACTGGGATATCTGCCTTCCCAGAGGAGGACAATATATTCTGCTGGAAAGGGACAATCACTGGAAGCAAGGACACAGTGTTTGAGGGAACAGAATACAGACTATCCCTTAAGTTTCCCAGTGATTATCCATTTAAACCTCCAAAAGTGAAGTTCGACACCAACTGCTTCCATCCCAATGTTGATGTCTATGGCAATATTTGCTTGGACATTCTTCAGGTACTTCTGCGGTCTATCTTCCTAGGCAAGTGCGTGTACATATATATAAGTACATAATATACGTGTGTTGGTTATGTAGGATAAGTGGTCATCTGCTTATGATGTGAGAACCATACTGCTATCAATCCAGAGTCTGCTTGGAGGTAATTTCTTTTTCGTCCATTCAATTAGAAACATTAAAAAAAAAAAGAAAAAGAAAAAGATCCTAGTTTGTTGGTCAATATCCAATTTTTCACTTTTTTTCCTTATAATTCCTTGTTCAGAACCAAACATCAGCTCACCTCTAAACACTCAAGCAGCCCAACTTTGGAGCAATCAAGAAGGTGAATATAAGAAAATACGCAGTGGACTATATTCACAGTTCTAAGGTTTTGTGATGAGAAAACATCTTTTTTAACACATCTATGTTTGTCTTTTGCAGAATACAGGAAGATGGTTGAGAAGTTGTACAAACCTCCTACCAGTGCATAATGACTACCAGTGCATAATGACTTTCAGGATGATAAGGAGTTTGTTTTTGTTTGATCAAGTTAGTACAAACTTGATAGTTGTATGGTTCATTCCTTCAATTCTTTGTACCTTTTACAGATCAAGGGCCTTTTTATTCTTGATGAATGATTAAATGACAGTTATTTCAAATTTTTGAGAATCATTATTCATTCCGTACAACCTTTCTTCCTTTTTTAAATGTTATTAACAATGTATCAAAGGACGTAGTACATTCATGTACAAAAAATTAACAATTGTGTTAGAGTGTCACTGATATTCTTAAAGTGTTCGTCCCTAACCCTAACAAAATATTATTCCCTACCTCTTTACTCTAAAAAATTCTACAATTTATTTCCAAAAGACCTAAAAATGGTGAATGGGAATTATTCCCTTTCCAAGCCCATATTTCCTCGTTGGCTGAACCCGTCATAACCCCAATATATCATGCACCATAGATATGCAGTAAGACACCACAAAAAAATGTGGTCTTTTTAGAAACCATATATCATCACCATAGATCAAAATTCACTGCAGTAATGCATGAATGCAGTGAATTTTGCAACCACATTTTTTTGTGGTGTCCATAGTTCTGACCTTTTTGGTCAAGATGCATTCTCGACTAGCCTTTTTGGTCAAGATGCAACCACATTTTTTTGTGGTGTCCATAGTTCTGACCTTTTTGGTCAAGATGCATTCTCGACTAGCCTTTCAAGCGAAAAAGATGATTCTAGGAAGCACCTCTGATTTTCCAGATTTAGTGAGCCAGGAAATCATGTCTCTGTCCAGTCCTCATGATATGATTATAGCACGATTTGACAGAGAAATCTTTGTTCAATTAGGATATGATTTAACATGCTAAGTAATAAACAGAACAATAAATTTGCTTATTGATAGGATCATAGATCTTACAATGTTAAGAATAGGAAAAAGGAACTTTATTAAATTTGCTTGTGTTTGATGTCAATTTATGTATTTGATGTCCAAATCAAATTTGCTTGTGTTTAATTGTGAATTTCTATTGCAAGAAGGAATATATATTATTTTGATTCAAAATTTTATTTTTCTTCAGTATATTTTTCATTCAATATCTCATGAATGAAAAAGTACTGGAGAAAAAATTCTGTAGAATTTCACCAGTTAGCAATTTTCTAGGCATGAAATTAAAATTTAAGAATCTGTCCACATAAGCTGGTGATGTTTGCAGCCTGCTGTTTTTTTTCCCCTCAAAACAGAAAGTAGATCTAAATAATTTTTGAAGCATGAAAGATTTATCTGGCCCACAATAGCCAGTTACCCACTCACACTTTCCCTGCTTAAAAAATGAGATGAGTTGGTTATTTTGGTGAAGTGAGCTGCCTCAGGTTGTATTTGGCTAGCCCACAATAGCCATACCCACTCACACTTTCCCTGCTTAAAAAATGAGATGAGTTGGTTATTTTGGTGAAGTGAGCTGCCTCAGGTTGTATTTGGCTAACTCCTTGTACTTTTCGACAACTCCAATCAAGCATACAGTCTGTAAAAACAAAGAGAAGGAGCTCAAGCCACGGACGTACTCCCCAGCTAAAAAGACAAGCTTTTAATTTTTACATAACTTAAACAAATCAAGCTTAAAAAATATGAGAAGTTTTAGAAGCATGTGGCAAATGAGCAACAAAAACTTAGACCAAGTTGAAACTTTTAGAGGCATGCACCAAGTTGAAACTTTTAGAGGCATGCAGGAAATGAGCAGCTTAGGCAAATATTTCTTCTCTAACAAACTCTGAGAAGACTCTCTTACCTTCACCACTTCAACTACGATTGTTTTGTCAGGATTGCTCAGGTCAACTTTATGAGGTCCTGGGACAGATTTTGCCACAGCATTTATGATTTTCATCCTGTCAACGCCGGTATTTGCACGTGCCTCATACAATACTGCAAACTGCACTTACCAAAAAAAATTATGAACCAACTAGCACATACAAAGGGATATCAACTCACCGGTATAATTTAGCCAAAGAAACTTGAATAAGTTTGGGAAAAAACTTTGTATTCAGTTGCCTAGTTTTTAGATGGTTAAGCAAAAATGAAACTCTCAATCTGGGCGTGCCATTCACGCATGCATCTGTTGGTGATGCATGATGAGAAGAAGCTAAATAGGAATACTTTTAGTTGTAAAAGGAATTTATGTCATAATTATGCTGTTCCTTATAGAATCAATGTAGGGGGGAGGAGGGACTCAAGCCTAGGTCTTTGCTCTAATTAATATATGCACCTAAAACTATCTATCCCTGAGGTGCCCTTTGTAATGATTATGTAATTATATTACTAC